CATCTATCAGTCTGTGAATGGTGACAAAACCAACAAACTGCAAAAGTTAGTTTATCCACAAGTTGAGAAAACACAGAGTTGTGGTGAATTTCCCCAGGAGTTGCCCATCGGCCAAATTTGTTCTGCATCAGCAACCTTTCCAGAAGAAACCTAGTAAATAAATTTACATAGTGCTTTTCTAGTCATGCTACCAACTCAGACACTTTGCATTAGAGCTACATTCACCCAACTGTTTATTATTAAATGCAGTCTGATCTTGTGATCTAAAACAATTTAATTTGTAACACTGGTTTAATATAAAAATCAGCAGCTTAATAAACTTCACAGCAAATTTGGGGAAACGAGCCTCCATATAGTATATAGTTTACTCTGTGTGATGCAAAATACACAATTTTTCAATTGTTGCCAAACTGCAACTTCATCGGTGCCATAAAGGAGGTAAAATCTGTCTATGCATTCTACTTAATGCTTTTTAAAATATTCCTTCTGCAGTGAATTATGAACAAAAATGTGAAGATCTAATTGCACTTTAAATTACAGTAGGATCTATCAAGGTTCTTGGTTTTAATGTTACAAAATGTAAAACTGCGATTTTTGCTAATCAATGTGGTGACTTTGTGTTCAACCTTTGATGTGTTCTTTTCATCTCACATTCAGTATCTCTTTATTTTAGTTGAGTCATTGTGTTTCTTCATAGTGAATCATTCTGCAGCAGCATTAGATTCCCAGTGTTGGATTTGTTTTAATATCATGACATGATGTGATTGTTGCTGAAGAGGGATTACAGCTTCATCATGTGAGCTTTTTACATGACCCAAGAAGAGACAAAAGTTGTCACCGGATGTGTTGCTGTCTTCCTGAATGGTTTCCTTACTGCCACTGACTGACAGGAAATCCTCCAAAGTTATCCTGTGGAGAAGCCTGGCCTCTTCTGCTCCTGTGGTTATTGTGAAATTACAAAATGTTGAACTCTTTTTTGGCTATGAACTTTTCAACAGCTAGTGCCTGAAACAAGCAACCACATTGGTTAAAAGTGTTTAGACCGGTCTGGTAAACACAGACCACAGCAAAAGAAAAGAAAAAAAAGAAAAAAAAAGAAAAAAAAGATTTAATATGGTATCACATGGCTTGGTTTGAGATTGGCAAAGGAAATTTCGTACTTTTTTCCCCCTTCTGCTGGCGTCACAAATAACTGTCTTTGTAAAGTAGAATCTGGCTAACTGAATCTCTTGCTTCCATAGTTTCTGTTTATAACTGTGCATAACATAAAAGCAAAACAGAGGGTTTTCTTGCATGGGGGATGTAGCAGTTCAGCATTTAGAGCTTTTTGATTGTCACCAGATAGGAATCCTGACTAAAAGCACATGACTGTCAGCTGGTACTTTGCCAGAAACTCGAATCACAGGCCAACGATGTCTGAGAATCAACAAGTCTTTGCCTTGTTCCACTCTTAACAATCAAGCATGAGTGATTTTTTTTTTCTAAGACCTGAAAAGAAAGAAAGAAAACTTGTTAGAATGTCCTAAAGAGACTGAGATGGAGATTCACCTCACAGCAGGGCAAAAGCTGTCAACATACAGTGAGGTGCAATGGAACAGTTTAATTCAAAACATGGTCATCTTTTAGAAGGGCTCAGTCAAAGTCCAGACCTACACCCATAATCTGTGGCAAGACTTCACTGATGTTCTCTATTCAGTCTTTCAGAGCTTGAGCTATTTGGAAATAGGCAAAACATTCTCTTTGTGCACAACTCATAGGTACTTCAAGGGGTAGTACTTTAACACATTACTTTTGTTATATCTTTGGGGGGAGGTATTGTTTGTTTAAATTATTTTTTATATTATCACTACTAAGGGGTGTTTTGAACAACAGAGAAGTACATTTCACAATTAAAACTAAAAGAGAGTAGGAAAACTTCATCCATATTTCCTGTCATAATTCCTCTTACTGTTGCCTTTTACTCACTGGCATTATGAGTCTTTCTAGGAAAACATCTGAAGTTATTAAACAGGAAACACTCCAAGAAAGAGGCCTCCTTACATTTTGAATAATAGCTGGCTATTGTTTCCCTGTTAAGAGATGTGTTGATGTGTTTGGAATGAGTTGACTCTGTTGATCTAATTATGAAAAAAAATAAACTTTTGCCCCTGGAGCTGTGTCATGTGAAGTGTGTGGGTGTGTGACGACTGCAGAGCAGTTTCCTTTCTGTCAGTGCAGTAAAGCGCTGGTCACGTTAGTGTACAACCCCACCCACAAAAACCTGGAATGGGAGTTCTCTTAATGGGAGCCAAATGTTCACAGAACAATGTGTTCTCAAGGACATAAGCAATAAAATAACATTGTCTTGGTGAAGTAAATCAATGTTTTTGGAGGATTTTTGAAATATGGGTCTGAAATGTATGGCCTTGTTACTGGAAAAGTTAGGGATTTATTTATTTTTATTTTTATTTATTTATTTATTTATTTATTTATTTATTTATTTATTTTAGAAAATAATAGAAGTTAATCAACATAAAAAAGTACAAAAATAATGTTATTTTTGATCCAAAAGAAATCCAAGAAACACTGAAGACTAATTTCAGTTTTACTAAAATGCAAATAGCATTTCATTGTATTCAGCAATTACTTTTGAAAAATAATTATCTCTCACTGTACAGTTATTTTTGGCATGTCATCAGTTTTGCAAGACTTTAATGAGAACAGATGTAAAATGATCCTTTAGATGATCCACTTAGATGTTGCCTTTTAATTGCAGCACAGGCCAGGCATGAACATAGTGAACATAAACAACTGCAAAAGAAAAAAAAAAACCATTGTCAGCAGTTTTAAACAATTAAAACAGCCATCTGCTTGATATAATATTCTGACAGCTTAAACTAGCATCTGATTGCTCCAGGTCAATTCACTCATTTTCCATCTTCAACACCCATTTTCGACCCACGAGTTGATTTTTTTCCCCCCCACCTACTTTCCATTTTGATTCCAAAAACAAACTTCTCTATACATCGGTGCCATTTTGTCCCAATTTATTGCTGTCCTACAAAAAGCACATCAAATAATCCTTTTGTTCTCAGCAGCCACGGAAACCACTTACCCATTGGTTGCACAGGCAAAAAAGCAATAGAAAACCAGGTCAAGACACAACCAACCCAAATACAAAATAGTGGACAGGAGAAATGACCAGGAAGCTTACCACAGTTAAAAAGGTGGTGTATTTCTAGTTTTCAAGTAATTAAAATACTTGAAAACTCTCTCTGTTGGCTGGAAAAAAAACAAAAAAATAGACGGCAGTGTGAATTGTTCCAATGTACAGTCTAAAAGCAAAACAGAACCAAGATTTCAGTTGGAAAGAACAAAACTTTATTTTTTGGTATATTTTGCATTGGCAGTCAATGTCCGTTCGTCATTTAAAGCTTTTGTCCAAATTGAAATTGTAATTGCAAACAAATGTTCCCATGACTTGCGTAAATCTGTTTTGAAATTACTGAACCTCATATCTGTCATTTCTTTTAGTAGTGCGTGTCATTTAACATCATGTTGTCGTATCTCCATCTTACTGAACTATTTTCTTGCGTTATTAGGACAACATCAACGTAGACGAGGCGGCTCGTTTCTTGGTAGAGAACATCCTGGCGAACGATAAAGGTTTGCCGTATGAGGAGAGCAACGGAGACCGGATCAAACTGGACCAGGAGACTGTAGCTGCTGAGAGCAAGTCAGGCTGCTGCTAACACTCAATCCACTCACATTAACCATCCGCCTCCCTCTGGTGGGGTCCAGTGAGTTCACCCAGCCTGTGGCTCCAGCTCCCTGATGCAACCTTGGAGACAAATATGATTTTTTTTTTTCTTTTTTGTCTCTTCAAAGCTTCAGGAACTTCTTACATTGATGCCAATTTGACCTGTGCATCCAAGATTCTCATTACTCACTCTTATTTTTGATCTTGCCTCAAAGGTTTTCTACTGCGTTTACTTTGCATTTGGGGGATTTTTTTTTTTTTTTTTTTTTTTTTTCCTTAAAAAATGCTTACAGTATGTACAGCTGATTTTCAAACTGTTGCCCTGACAACCTTTTAAGCCTTGGACTAATATCACACAAGAAACAGGTTGTGGGGTGTGGTACATTCACTGCAGAAAGTTGAGGAGCGCACGCTTGGAAGCAATTTTTGACCTTGTGATTGTCACTTTAGTGTATTCTTAATCAATATCACTCCATGTCTGTTTTATTTTCTCACCTCTCAGTTTTCTGTGAAACAAAAAGAACAAAAAGAAAAAAAATAAAGATGCTGAAGCTTTTCTTCAGTGCCTGTAGATGGACATTGCATTATATTGCACACAGAGTGAATTTTGCCTACTTTTTTCATTATTAGACTACTGTTAGCCAGTCGTTCTGAAAAATTTGAAAATTGCTATTTGGCTTTTTTTGCTGTCAAGCTGTATTGTATTAGTCCACTTATCTCTAATTAAGCATTGTGGCATAACATTGTTATTATTTTAACAACGGCATGGGTAACAATTTTTATGCTTCACATAGTACAATCAAAATTACACTGCAGTATTTCACTAAAAAAAAAAAAAAAGAACAGAGCTATATTGATGGTACTGCATGACTACAGAAGCAATTGCAGACCTTTGCTTAGCTTTGTTTCTGCTGATGTGTCTGTGTAAATTCCTGTACTTTTAAAATGTTTTGTGTCAAATGTTGCATAACTGACTGTGCAGCAAAACCAGACTCTGACAGAGGTCTCCAGGCTTTTGTATATGGCAGTCTGTTGAAGTGTTGATTAAATGTAAATATTGTTTTAAACATGTTTACAGGCGAAAATACTTTAAATATGCAAAACCAAAATAGAATAAACATTTTATCAGATCTTTGTTGTCACGTTGTGGTTTAATGCTTGTTGCAGGGCTCTGATGACAGATGTTACGACAAAACAACTTCGACGTATGTTTTGGAAATATGATCATTTACTCTAAATTGATTTTATATCGGCAGATATATAACTCCTTCTTCTTAACGTTTTACTGGCGATTGGCAGAAAAGTTTGAGCACACACTGCCAAAATAAGAAAGAGCAGGAAATGCCCCTGCTCTAGATCCCGCCCACCTTTAAGCTCGGTTGCGTAGCAACTGTCAAACTTCGACAGGCAGAAAGAAACGCTTATGAAACGAATATAATTAAGGCGCTTCGTGTTACTTTACTTTTCTTTTCTTTTTTTTTTAACATAAACACAATGTCCAAACCAGCACAGGTAAAGAAAAGGGATCACGCCGCCAGCAAAACGTCTGCATCTGACCGGCAGTATGAGTGAGTCATTAAATACAGCTGCGTTGCTGCCTTGCCGTTTGCTAACAGAGAAAAGTGCACAAAGGTGAATCGAATGTCTCGGTGTTTTAGGACACCCAACTCCTCTGAGAGCCTCGAAAAATCCAAACTTTACATCTGGCCCGAGTGGAGCGATGCCGAAGTCAGCAAGGAGAAATGGGACGTATCTAAAGGAGAAGGCAGAAAGTCAATCAAGAGCAAGAGTAATTCTGTAAATATGGGAGGGGGGCGGGGGCTCCTACAGTGAGAAAATTGATTTCAGTATTTTCCAGGTCTACGTCTGGAAAAGATCTAAAGAGCATGGACAAAAGGATGTTTCCGGATTTTATTCCGTATCATCATCTAAAACGCTTTGTTGTTATCCTTCCTTACTTCCTTTTCAGCTTCCCTCTTTTTCCTTCGTCCTTTCTCCCACACTTTTCTCTTTCTTTGATTCCTCCCTTTCTTTCCTGTTATGTCTTTTCTTTGCTCCCTTTGTCCTTACAGTCTGTGTTGTTACAGATCTATCATTTAAAGCCTCTGCACTAAATATCCTATTCATTGTGGAACGTTGTATTTCGTAGAACGTTAATTCTGGAAAGCGCTGAAAATTTTCATGAAAGATTCATCTAATCCACAGACGGGGGATAGTTAAACTTCATCACCACGTTCAAACAAAAATGATTAAAATGTGCATGTATGCATATTTGAAAATCAAGTTGCCTTTTCAGTCATTCTTCGAAGATCCAGAAGGAAAGTTGTTTCTGCCTCCATCCCTGAAGGTGCACACATGGAAACGTCCAACTGAGTTTATTGTTGATAAGGTAACTATCCCATCCCTTTCAGAATTATGTTGTTTGGAATTAAAACATAAACCTTTAATTTCAGTTAGTTTTAGTTGGAGATACCTGCTAATATAATGGTCTAATACTTCTGTAGTGAAGCTATATTAACTTTGGTCATTTATTAAATATGTTGACTCCTATTGGACTATAAATGTCGTCCAACAGTGCAGTCTGTCCCGCTAAATGGGTAACCAAGTTATAGCAATAAGAAAAAAAAAATCATGTTAAGTAAATTGTTTGTAATAATTTTAACCTCTTTTATCCTTAAAAGATAATTTATTTTGGATCTTGTGTCAGATTGCAACTAACATTAATTCTGTATCAGTTTTGAGCACTGATACAGTACCTCAAAACGGTATTCTTATCCCATTGAACCTTTATGCAATTTGTTACATTACAAACTTAAAATTTTATGCATTTAAAAAGATTTCATGTGATAGATGAAAATAAAGTAGTGCCTGATTGTAAAGTGGAAGTTAAAACAAACGTGAAACAATTGAAATGAACAGGTGAAAACTGTGGTATGCGTTTGTATTCTGTCATAGCTTTTGAGAGTCGCCTCTTACTGCAATTGCAGTCTCATTGTTAGTTATGCTCATCTAGAAATTGAAATGCAGATATTGTTTTCAATGGAAAATGGCTCAAGGTTGGACCAATCAGATTGAAAGTGTCTCCAAGTTTTTTCCAAAGTTCTCAATCAGAGTTTGGTCTAGGTTTTGACTGGGCCTCTCATGCTTTGAAATAAACTATTCCATTATAATTTTGGTAATATTATTGTTGTTCTACTGGAAATCGAAACCTCCGCCCCCGTCGCTAGTGTTTTTGCAGCCTGCAGCAGTTATTCGTCTATGATTAAACGGCATTTAGCTCTATATAGGCTTATATTTACTATAACCACCTTGTCTGTCCCTGTGGAAGAAAACCGTTCTCTCCAACATAATGCCATCACCACCATGTTTTATTGTGGGACTTCATGTGTTCATACTCATGTGCCAGGTTGCTATTAGACATGGTGGGAGACTAATCTGACTACCTTCTCTTGCATGTTTCTTGTATCCTCTACATATTTTGTTAAAGCTGAAACCAGATTTCCCCCCCCCCATCAATAGATTTATTCTCATCATTCTTTCATAAAGGAAAAATTTGTTGAGTTCATAACCAAGTGTCCCAGATTTACACACCTGAGCATTATATCTCTCCAGATCATCCAGAGGCTACTGGTCTTGTTTCCCTTTAAGGTTAACGGAGAAAATAAGCGTAAAAAAAACAAAAACAAATAAATACCACAGTTTCTACTTTTTCTTTTTATCACGATGTGAGAAAAGAATACCCAGATTTACCTTCCACTTCACTGGTGTCCACCATTTTGTGTGGGTCCATTTCATAGAATCCTGATAATATGCTTTGAAGTCTGTGACTCAAACATGACGGTAGGCGAAAAAGTTCAAGACGCACAAATTTATTTACAAGGCAATGATTTCCTTTTGCCTTTTCCATTTATCCAGATTTAGCTACTTGTAAAGTATTTATCTGCCAATTGAATACCTAGGGTAAATTACTCGGCAATAAATCCCTAAAGCAAATTTCTCCTTGCGTCACAATGTGAAAAGCATACACAGATATCTTCTCTAACCTTCTCCAATTAAGTGTAATTGCATCACTTTACTTTTCACATTGGTGTATGGACCACTTACTAACTGGAAGCTTCCTGTTATTTTTGAATCAGTCTTTGCCAAGTCACATGCTGCCTTTTCACGCAAGAAGTCAAAACAACTTCAATGGTTTCATACAAAAGGAGCAGAGGCTAATCAAGGAAGCAATCAGCCATACAGAAGGAAGCAGACACTCTTCTGAAAAAGCTGTCTTGTCTTGCTGAAGATGCGCATTATGAAAGGAAAGATTTGATGTCCTTGAAAAAAGTTGCTTCAGTTTGAGCAACAAAAACTTCCTTCTTTAGCAGCAAACCTGTGTTTCTGACATTTGATGCAGGATGTGTTTCAATTTAAACACACATATATTTAAATATAAGGACTTTGAATTGCATGTTATATTGGCTTTTGACAGATTACTACATAAATTATGTGTTTATATTCAGTTAAAATTGTACAAGCTACTGTATAAAATGCACACAACCATTTATTTTCACTGTTTGACATTAATTTAGTCTTAATGTTTTCTCTATTATGTCAGTTAGGTTTACCAAAGGTATTTTTATTTGATTATTATCAGAATAATGAGTGTTTTTGATCACTTTCTTGAAGTTCTGTACTTTACCTACACCCAAACTATTTAAGAAAGTCCATATTATAATGACTTTCTAAGCTTCTGATTAAATAACTGCTTAACACACAACATATAAGTTAAGTTGAGGCACACTCGTGGATGTGTTTTTAAGGCACAAACTCAAACTCACTGCTTTCTTTTATGTCATAAGAACATTTAAAATAAACGTGACAAGACGGTTAGAAATGTCAATGTGGACCTTCTCGAGTCTAGTTCATTGTTTGGCACAAATTTCTGATGCCTGAATGAACCATGATAATCTGTTCAGGCAATATTTGCAAATAAAACACCATGGAAATGTCCAGTTATCATACGGTTCAAAACGACGGAACTGTACGTGCACCACAAATTTTGGTGCACAATTTTGCACCAAAATGTGTGGATGCATACATTTGGTGTAAGATTTGTGTATCCATCAGACATGAAGCAACATCTTTGCGAAGACTCTGGCTGAGGCTGACAAGAATGTCATTATCCACGGTGAAACAAATGCTATACAGTCGGAGAGGAAGAAGCCTTTTTTTTTCCCCTCCCAAAAAAGCAATTTAAAAAGCCAGATTCTAGTTTGCGAATGTACAGAGACCTTAACCTCATCCTGTCCCATTATGAAACTAAAGCTCGAGTGCAAATTTGTGAAGGATTGTGGACAGACCTAAAAAGCTGTGCTAGCAAAGTGGCTCACAAACTTGACGCATTTTCTGTCAAGAAGACTGGGGAGGAAAGAGTGTAGTGTTATATTGCTACAAAAAAAACTAAGGTTATGTATGGGGTTTTTTTATACTGTGTATGTAAATATGTTTTCATTTGTATGCATTTAAATCATAGATGTGTTGAATAGTCAATTATCTTAAAGTCAAGTCAGTGTCTCTGTCGTTTTTAGGATGTCACTGTGGTTGAAAACAAAATGGACTTTGACCTGGTCTCCCCCAACAATCATTTGTTTGGTTGTGAGGTTAGTTTTTAACATGTTCTGCGTCTTGATGTTAACTTCTGCATTGACCATGCAGCACTTACACTCACAGTGATTTTTGCCTGTCTTCTCTGCTGTGTCTGTCCTGCCTTCTGTAAAGCTGATGAGGTGGATCATCAGTGAGATCCATATTGTTTGGATGCTTTGTACAGACTCAACCTTCCAACAAGACAACTGGAGACCTTGGGAGCACATCTACTCAATGTGTGACGTGGTGAAAGGTCATGTGCCACTTTATAACAGCTATGGGAAATATGTGATCAGACTTTACTGGATGGTAAGCCTGTCGGGGGGAAAAAAAATGCATTCATAAAGACATCCCTGAAGTCACAGTAGTTTTGTAATCATGCATGCACAGTGTTTCATTTCTTTATGCAGGAGATTATATCAGATTTAGCCAATGAAAATGTGAATGAACCGAAATAGAGGTAGGGAGGGAGGGATAAAAGAATCTTGTTCTCTGAGCTAAAATCAATCGGTCTCACTGCTGTACCAAAACATGTATGTTGAATAGATGAGGCTTAACACGAGTCTGAGGTTTCTCAAGACTCAAGTTCGATAGTTACATTTTTGGTAGCAGCTATATTATTTTGTATGCAAGTTTTAAGATTTATTTATTTTTTCTCTGTAAAGCGGGTCAAAATTAAAAATCTTTCTCTTGGGTACAGCTTGAAACTACACTTTGAGTTTGTGTGCATCTTACATACCTCTAAAGTGATGTTTTGTTTTGTTTTTTCAATTCTTTTCTCCACGACAGTTTAGGTCAACTGGGAAAAGGATTTATTACATTGCTGATTCTTGCTTTGACAAACAAGCATAACACAGTTGTAGGCATCACTTCCATTGCCAACCATATCATCCCAACAGATGGTTGTTGAGATGCTATTAGGCACCCAGCCCCCACTACCCTCCTTTCCTGTTTCCTTGTCACATTTTTCCTCTAAGACTGCTTAGCTCCTTTATTTGTTCAGGTTTCTGCAATGTGCAAATAACTTATTTACATTTTTGCCCTCAGTTTGAACTCGATTACTATGTTTTTTTTGTTTGTTTTTTTTAAAAGTCTCTACCTATACTCACAGTCTTGCACTATACTTCACCTCATCACATGACCACATCCTGATCCTCATTTGTGGGGAAAATATATTCCTGGACCTAAAAAGAACAAGTGAGAAACTAAGTGTTCCACCCTTCCCTGCCTCTTTTCTATACTGGTTTGCAGTGCTTGTTCACACTGTTCTGATAACTAAAAGATATGGTTGTGAGCAATCAGACATGTCACCTGACTGCTTATTTTCTTCATAGTTAGCAGACAGACTTATAGTTTCACAAGCTATTACTCTAAATCTAATGGCAGTAATTGCTAAAAGGTAGAATGGAGAAAAGCATGAAGCCCGAAGTTGGCATGCAATAAATGTAACTCGGCATTATTACTAGAGATACCCATATTACCTACTCACTTACCTCATTGCTGGCACTGTTTTTTTTTGTTTTTTTTTTAACATTATCTGTGAAACATCTAGTCTCGTACGGCAAGTGGCTCTATATGCCATTATTCAAACAAGGGACAGGGTTGTACATTTTTTAATTTTAACTAATGAGCTAACATTATTTTAAAGAGCCAGGTTAGTTTTTTTTTTTTTTTAAATAAATGCTCAGCATAGTATTTACAATGTTATGTGGTAAAATCAAATAATTACAGTTTTATCGCTTTTGGGTGTTTACAATGATGAAACACTGAAATTCAACAGCAAGATCATTTTTTTGTAAAAATACTTTCAACTGAACACTTTTGGTGGCTTTTAAAATAAATATAAAAATGAAAATAAATAAAGCAAATAATTTTTATAATGATGTAAAAAGACTACGCAAACATAGTCCATTAGAGAGGGGATACTGCGAAAACGAGCACCATTTTATCTATAAGCATAGCTTTTATCCAAAAATGATTTTTGGTCGAAGGAGCTAAGCCACGTGCTGCCTTGGAACAACAGAACTGACTTGTAACAAAAATGCAGATTCATGGAAATTATTATTTTCAAGAATGGTTTATGTTCTGAATAGCTTTAATCTAATGGCCAAATGTCAGACAGCACCAACATTCCTATGATGGTCTTTGATAAGTGATTGGTTGGTTAAAATACAAAGAGGATTGTTCTCTGCTCATAAAGTGCATCAAAACTAAAAACTCCTCCTATTTATTTTTGATCTGTAAAACCCATCAGTTTCCAACATCTAATTTTTTTTGTACTTTTTTCAGTTTACTAAAAATTAAAATCTGACCGCAAAGAAAATCAGAAATCCGTTAATGTAAGACTGATATATCGGTCTTAATGTTGACATAAATAAAAACAAAACAAAAACAAAAAACTGGGTGACTAATACAGCATATTTCTTCCAGTCTATCTGAAAGACGCGCAGCTCATTCAGTTTCTTCTGTCCTCCCTTTTCACCCTCAGGGTTCCTGGAGAAAGATGACCGTGGATGATAACATGCCGTTTGATGAGGAGAACAATCTGCTTCTCCCTGCCTCCACTTGTCAGTCAGAGATTTGGCCAATGCTGTTGGCTAAAGCTCTAATTAAAATAGCCTCCACAATGTAAGTTACTGTGTTTTCCAACGTAATTGAGCATTTTACATACTACAGTTGGCATATTTTTAACCAGTTTTGATTTTTTTTTTTCTTTTTCTCAGACCAGTTTTCCGGGTTGGTGGCGAGATGAGCGATTTCACCTTTATCCACTCCCTCACTGGCTGGATGCCAGTAATCAGTCCTATAGTGTGAGATTTTTACCAATCTGCTGGATGTTTGTTATAAACAGTTCTTTGCAGCTTAAGATGTTACACCCAAAACACTAACTACATTCTAGATAAAAAAAACACATAAAACATTTGTAATTTTACTATTAATGCCTCTTTTTTTTTTAACAATGAGTCATATTGTCTTAAACTAATTTTGCTCTCCTTTACACCCTCTTAGGCCGAAGCACTCGGAAAGAATATGGGATTTCCTTCTAGACAACATTCCTAAATTTACACACGATGATATGTTTTTTGGAATGTCGATGTCTGACAGTGAGGATCCAGGGACCTCAGACCATGACAACAAGAGTCTGGTTCAGGAGTCAGAAAAAAGCACAGGTCCAGATTGTTGCATAATTAGATACACATTTATCAACAGATTAATGCCTACATCATATTTCTAAATTGCATCTGGTTTTAAATTAGTCAACCAATCATCTAACATCTGGCCATATGCAGTATGGCCAGATGCACCAAGAAACAAGATGTCTCGTTTCTTGGTGTTATCTTCTTTTGCAACTATGTAGATAAATCCAGAAGACACTCCGTCTTTAGTTGCGTCTCCGATCCAGGTAAGAATGAAACATCCTCAGAGATGAACTTGTAGATGAATCTGGAGATAATTTGAAAAGACCATTTTATGATAAAGTGGAACTGTTCAATGCATATATAGATTCATTTGGATGAAGACTGACAAAAACTTTTTTTTAATTATTTTTTGTTGGTTGTATGACACCAAGTAGTTTTCAGCTACCAACTATTTTAAACCTTTCTCTTTTTTACCTACTGGTTCTTTTTTGTTTTTACAATAGCCTCCCATATATTCCTTTCCCAAGCCCTCTAAAATGTAAATACCCTTACCAAAGTAAAGCTACTTACACCTAAAATTGGACCTCCTTCCATATATTTTCTTTGTCAGATACATGGCTTGTGGCACATTTTAAGCAGTGCTTCTGAGGGATTTCTTTGAGCAATGAATGTCTTCTTGTCACTCTTCCCTAAAGGCCAGGCTTGGGGAGTGCATAAATAACAGCTACCATGTTAGCAGACTCTGCCAAAGTGGTGGATCTCTGTTGCTCCTGCAGCTCTACCATTGGCCACTTATCTACCTCTTCACACTGCTGGAAATACATTTCTTTCACCAGCAACAATGGGTAATAGAAATTTGAAGCCATTCAAAATTTCACCAGCAACTATTAGTTTCAAACTTATGTCTTTATGGTATTTGTATTGGTTACAAAAAATATTCTTTAGGGCCCTATTTAATGTGTTTTTAATCCCCTCCACATTCAGTCTTTGTTTTTCCCAAATAGTTTTCCCTGTTCATCCATCCATCCGTACAATCATTATCTTTGCAGCCCCATGGGTGCTACTGCCTATGTCCAGTAATCATTGGCCGAGGGACCTTGTACATCCTGGACAGTTTTTGTCCATCACAGAATAACTTAGGACAAACAACCATGCCTGTGCAGACTCACTCCTGGACAATTTAGAGAGACCAATTAACCTAATAGTCATATTTTGGAAATTTTGGAGGAAGTCAAACTACCGGTACTTAGAGAGAAGTAGTTTGCAGACACATGCAAAACATGCATACTCCATGCATATAGACCCCAGGCCAGGACTCATACCTAGGACCATCTTGCTGCTACCAAGTGCAGTGCAGTGCAGCCCTTTTTTCAAAGTATTTTTTATTTTTATTTTTTTTTGTAGAAATTTAACAGATTTTTGCGGTTTAGACTCGCCCTTTTTTGTAGGTTGATCGAATTACCCAATACCTGCTACTTCATAAATTTACCTGAGATTTGGCCATTAGCCAATTTCCACTCCTGCTTCTCTAATGAATCCTCTCTTTACCCAGCCTGTCAAATTGGATTATGGCTATTTCTGGGATGGATTGCTATTGTGACACACTCTTTCTATTTGTGGACATTATATCTCTCAAGCTTTGGATATTTTATTGTATGGTCCTGTTTTTATGAGATAATATGCACACTGATAAGCTCACTATATGTTATTACAGATAACATTGTAAAGAGGGCAAGTTGAAAATGCACACCTCCATTTCATCTCTCTTTTGTGTTGGTTACAGATCTACTAAATCAGCATTCTACTAAGACCAATTTAGTAAAAGTTTGCATTCCTGATTTGTTAATGGCTGCTGATGAAAGGAAATGTTCTGTGTTGATTCTACTTGATCTTAATGTCTCCTTCGATACTGCTAACCATTGACTTTGTTAAATAGGCTTAAAGTTCTGGCTAGTATTTCTGGCTCTGCATTGGACTGGTTATTTTCTTATATATGATATAGGAAATTCTTATAGACAGGCAAGTTCTCCTTGATCTCTGCTCCTCTAACCAACGGGGTTTCACAAGGGTCATTTCTGGGCCCCATTGTTACATACTTTTTCTCTTTCATTTGCTACATTGCTTCTGCCACTTTTATGCAGTCTTTCCCTGTAAGTTATTGATGTTCACTGCTATATTAGGGATGCAAAATAAATATTTAAGAATTAAAATGGTAGAACCTTAACATTTTGGAGGTGCAGCCTGTTTTGTAAAAGCATTAACCTTAGGTTTGATTTTCCTTTCAACCATTGTTGTTGGTATTTTTCAGGTCCTCCAAAAGTTGCAGTATGTGCCAGCTTCTACCCTTCTCAACAAGATTCTTTTGGGCTCGTTCAAACGGTATTTATGTTTCTAGTGTTCTTCTGTTCTTGCTGGCTACTTCAGGTTTCATGTGGTCACAATCTGTCAGCAGCAGATAATTTTAACTTTACTGTTTTAAACAAGTATTTATAACTTTTGCTGAAGATGTTTTTATTTCTCTGCGTCTGACATTTGTGGTCATACAGGCAACTTCCTCAGAGCTTTTACGGTTTTATGGTTTGTCGATGCTGCACAGCCATGTTGTCCTGTTGACCAAAACCCGTTCATGTTCGCTGATACCTCCTCCCAAAGCTAAGATGGTGTCCCGATGGAAACTCATCCGTCTGCGCAAGAAGATAGTAGTCACATCTGAGCCTCAAAGTAAGAAAAAGAGACATTGAATTGTGTTTGGAATAAAAGCATGGTGAAAGGAAAATTGGAAGAGGATGCATGGGAGTATATCAAACAAACAAGGTGCAGGCAATGCCACAGTGTGTTGGCTAGCTGGATAGATTCGACTGATTGATAGATTGTGTGGTTGGTTTGCAGCATTGTCAGCAAGAATTTGCATGAAAAGACACACACATTATACCGTGACATTAATAGCAAAGGGATTTGAATGCCTCAGCAATTTATGGTACCTTTTTACTGTTTAATTATTTTAATTTCTTGTGGTATGAAAGAAAAATTTTGTCCTGTTTCCTTGAGCATAGGGGAAGGCGGTTCCTTCTCCATGAAGGAATCATCTCATATGAAGATCTTAAGGGGTATGTATTGTCTGCTATAACCTTGTTTGCCTTCCTCATAACTCACTATATTTTGACCATGATTGGAAAAGTGGCATGAAAGAAATTATTGTCCCGTTTCTTGAGAATAGAGGAATGCAGTACCTACGCCCTGAAGAAAACACCTCGAATAAAGATCATAAAAGGTGTGTATTGTCTGCTATAATGTCGTTTTCATTCCTTATGACACTGTCCAAGTAATGTTGGCATGGCATGTTTGAGTTTTCAATTTTTCTCCATTTGCAGAGGAACCTGAGCCACCACATGAGAAATTCATTGAGGTTACCAGCACTTTCGTTTTTCGCAGTGCCACAACCACTGGAGGCTTTGTCCCAGAACCGTACGTTCTTTTCAATGACCAAAAGATGAAACCGAGTTGAACTGTTCTTTCTGTTTTGGTTTTGCAAGATACTATTGTCTTTTAATATTGGCTTTTGTTTTTCACAGTGACATAAGGAGTGAATCCTGCGTCTCAGAACCGTATGTTCTTTTAAATGATCAAAATATGAAAAAGTTGAATTATTCTTTCTGTTTTTGCAAGATGCTATTTTCTTTTAAAACTGGCTTTTAAATTGTGCTAATATTATATTATTTCTTGCTTTCCTTTCTTATCACTAAGGTAAGAAAGCAAGAAAACTGACCCCATATGTTGTTCTAACCCAAAAATGATGCTACTCATGTTCCTCTCTCTGTCCTTTGATGCAAAATGGTATTGCAAGATTACTAGCTCAGAACTGTAAGATATAAAAATTATGCGTTTTTTAATTATCCTTTAATTTCAGGTAGAAATTTTGTTCTATTGTTAGGTATACAACAACTACACAACTATATTCTTGGTAAAATGACTACCGCAGTTCCATTTACTGTAATGACAATGTGTTTGTGTGTGGCAGAGAGACCAAGGTTAGCACACCAAGGAAGCGTGCCCGTAGACCCAGTATGTTGGTGATTACTGAGTCAGAGGAGGCAGACAGACGTGATCCTGAAGTAGCTGAGCTAAGCAGCACTGGCGAACTGAAGATGCCTCCACAGGTCTATTTTTAATATAAATTCAGAATAAATGAATTTAACATGTGGAACTTAACTGTTTAGGGGAAATGGACTGATGGCTTCTACAGATTTTAGGATCTTTGAGAAATTGTATTTCAGTAGAAGTGATATTTTGTAGCTTTCTGTTACTACCTTCCATTGTTTCATTCTTGTGCCCTTACACCTCTTTAGAGTCATTATCCATGCAGCTGAAGGCTGATCAGTAGAGCCCTGTGTGTTTGTGACAGCACGGATGCCATCCCCCAGTCTCAAAGTCACTTCTGTTATCTCCCGGTCAGGCCGCCACTGACCAGAGGCACATTTGGACTAAAGAAAGAACCAGCTCAGAAAGGGAAATACCAGAGGCTAGCATTCAAAGCAGGAGACATATCCTTGCTTCTGTCTGAGACGAAGACAGAAGCAAGGATGGCAAGGAGCACAGAGAGGCAACTAATGGGCAATAGAACAGGATATGAAAAGGGGCTTAAAAATGGATAGAAAGTGATAAGTCCATAGGTGCAAAGCAAGAAAAGAATCCCCTGCAGTGTGGTGGTGCATAGGTGTCATACAGGAAGGTGTCATGTACTATGCTGATGAAAAAAAGGACTGCAATTAGATGGTGAGCCATGAGTCTCTACATCTCTCGGGGGCTTCATTATTACACTCCACCCCCAGCATATGCAGGAAAAAATAGCATTGATATTAATCGCCCTCTTGTGTAACTCTGAGCGGTTATAGGGCGGATAGGTTAGGACAGTGTTGGCATGCTAATTAGATTTATGTGCGCAGACTTCTCAGATCAGTTTGCATGTGTCATGTGTGTGACACTTTTCATGGCGAGCACATGGTGGGTCACATGCTGAGACTGTGAATCAAGCAAAAAGGGTTTCTTGCTGCGTTTTCCCCTCCCACCGTTTTTGTTAACCCTGACCAATTGAATTAAGCTCTGCTGCTGACTCCAGGACCAAAGGGAGGTGCCATCACATGACATCATTAGTACCCTCTGCTGGAGTAGGGTTTATGCTATTAGCTCATGATACAAGCTCTCTGCTTTTATTGCCGGATGGTCATCCAAACTTACAGCTTTGTCATTTATCAGCTTGCTGTATTCTTGTAATCTCTGATGGCAATATTTAGAATATCCAGTCTCAAAATCCCATCTCACCACACAGATGAGTCGTCTCATAGATGGGTATAGAAAACATTGCATGACTTAAAGTTTTATGAACTTTTGCCAACATATATAGACATCTGCATATTGGCATTTCTGTTGCAGCAGAGCTCTTTTACAGTGGTAGAGAGGAGGTCAAGTGTGCCTCCCGATCACAATGCCTCTTTCCGTCTGTCTGAATCTCTGGGTACTTATTTGAATAAGTGGTGACTCACATGCAGCAGCAGACACACTCTCTGCCTCTCTCTGAGTCAGAGAGTCTTGGCGAGGGATACTTTGAAGCTACATAATACAAAATGATAATTCTTGTTCAGAACTGAGTAAACCCTTGGACATTCACCAGATTGGTTCCTCAAGGGAATGTTTTTTGACAAAGACTTGAAATGAAGGGAGGAAGGTTTAGATCAGTGAGACATGGGCACATCTTCTTGTACTTGGCTTTGATATCAAAGGCATATTTTTCTGGAGCAATCGCCTTGTTTTTTGTTTAAATTAAGCTCACGGCAAAGCTCATTTTACGGCACTGTAAATTAAGAATAAATTGGTAAAAGTGAAATCTAAATGCTCCTTAGAATGTGTTCCACAACCTGAAAGTCCAATATATTTTTTCATTTAATGTTATAGGAAAATATGAAGGAAAATGATACTTGTGTTTTAAATTTTTTTTTTTTTTTCCCCAAGAAAATGGAAGTATTCTAGCTTTTGCGTTTGGCCCCCTTTGCTCAGATAGCCTAAATGAAATTAAATGCATTCAGTTGCATTCAAAAGTCAAGTCTTCTCTCTGGCAAACAGGATTAAGTAGAGAAGACGACAAAGGCTCACGATAACTCTGGAGGACCTGCAGAGATACACAGCTTGGTGGGAGATGTTGTCAACAGGACAGCTATTACTTTTGTTCGCCACAAGTCTGGTCTTTATGGGAAAATGGCAAAGTCTCTCTTTGAAGTCTTTCTTTAAAGAAAGAGACCATGTGTTGGTCTGTCACCGAAAATCCCAACAAAATACCTTGTAGTTTGTGGTTGCAAGGTGAGGGAAAAGCTGTATCTAGATGTTCTGAATGTATTTGACTAAATCTTTATTCAGATTGGGTCCTTTTGTCCTTAACTTCATTAATGCCCTCGCTTTCTTTCTTAATAGTAAAACACTTCAAGTAAAAGCAGCCAGGAGTATTTGGTGGCAGACTGAGAGGACACGAAGGGGTAACGAGAGGAAAAATAGCTCAAGAAAACATTTCAAGCACATAATTATGACTCATTAGTGCTATAACTTTAAAGGATTGGGCAGACTTGCAGGGAAATCAGAGCCACTGTGTGAATCTCCTCTAAAAGGAATAACAAACTACACAACACAACTACTCCTCCTCTGTCACTTGCGTTCAGAGTAAATTAGAGCTGGTATTCCCTGGTGGTGATTTTAGTTGGGGCGGAGCAGGCCCTGTCACATTAAACTGTGTCTCTGTGTCGGGTGAGAATGGCACAACACCACAGCTGGCGTGGAATAACTAGAGGGTAGAAGCACATCTCTCGCAGTGGTACTCTGTCAGCGTCCCACAGTTCATGCCTCTCTCCCTCTTTTTTTTTTCTGTCTCTCTTATTATCCCTCTAGGTTACAGCAGAGGACAAGACAAAGGACATTGATCAGCTCTCCGTTGGTAAATGCTATTTCCATGCAATATTTTCACTACTTAAAAAGAATATCTGTGTGGAAAACTGCCTTGTAAGAAGTCAAATATTTGATTATAAGACAAATTACACATCATGAAATTATACTTTATGAAATGTTACTATATCTGGTCTAGTTGAAAGCATCGGTGGAGTTCAGCCTAGTTACTATGATGGGAAATATTTGCACCCATCTTTCTGTCTCTCTGTGGGCGAAGCCAACATTTGAAGAAGACAGGATTGAAATTTCAGCTTGTGACATCAAACCGATTCTCTGCCTCCTCTCTGCCCCTTTTTAGTTGCTTAGTAACACCTGCAGTTTGAGTTAGCAGACCACCATTGCTCAGCGGCAGAGACGCTTGCCCTCGCAGGCTCAGCTTACTGATCAGAATCTCGCTTCAAGTAGAGCTCGGGGGGTGTAGACCGTTTGCATGTGCGCATTTTTTTTTTTTTTTTTT